CTGGGGAATTCTGGGCGTTGAAGTCCACCCATCTTAAACTGGCCAAGGTTGAGAAACACTGTTCTATAAATCCTCAGAAGGTTCTATAACACTCACATCTCCTTTTCCATCGATTTACAGGCTGGTGTTTGAACAAGACATTGCTGGCGTCAAGACCTCTTATCTTGGTGACTGTGAAGGTAGGCGTCCATTCCTGGTCCAAACATGGCAGAGCTAGCAAGAGGGGTGCTGGGCAAGGGTGGTGCAAATCTTGCTATTGAACCCCCATTGCATCCTCTGCAAAAGAGGGCCATCTTTAATCTTGAACGTCTTTAATATTTATGTAGAGGGTTTGTTTTATCGGATTTTAATGGATTGAGTATTTAATTATTTATGGGGTATTTTCCTTTGTTTATAGGCTTCCGATGTTTAATTGTGGGCCGCCCAGAGTCACCCCTTGGGGTAGATGGGCAGCATACCCATTTAATAATAAATAAATACATTACTTTTATTTTAATTGTTATTTCAATAAAGTCACCCCCGAGGCACCAAAACCAGGTGAAGCCCCAGGCTTATTTAGTTGTCCCTATTCCACAGACGTCTTCAGAAATAGATATTGAGCATCATTTCCCCAGATGTTTAAAAAAAAAACCGGTTGGGGCATCAGAAGCTGTACAGTTGTGCCCAGATGTCTAAAGGACTGTGTCTCTTACCAACCCCGTGGGCTGCTTCAGAAATCGCACGTGTGTGTTTTGCCCCAAGTTTGGACTCCAGAATTGTGAAGTCGCTGCTAAAAAAAGACCAAAAGCCCAATTGCTTTCTCATCCTAAAAAAAAGGGGGTTGTTTATATAGTAGAGCCCCTCTTCCAATAACTCAAGATGCAAGGCTCATTTTCTTCCCCTTGTCGGATCTGCAGAATAATCCAGTGAGAAAGGGTGGGTGGTGGAAGGGCTGGAAGGAGTTGCAATTTCCAGATTTGCCTGAAGATAAGAAACCCCAGACATTAAACCCTAAGGCAGTGTTTCTCAACCTCGGCGACTTTAAGCTGTGTGGACTTCAACTCCCAGAATTCCCCCCCCCCCCCTTTTTTCCTTGGGGGGGTTTTGGGGTGGTGGACAACCTACGTATAAACCCCGCGGGTGGGGGGACGACTCTTAGGTGGTATTTGGT